GGGGCGGGGGGGGCGAAGGACTTGAGTTTTGTTCTTGAGGCAAGTGGGAGCCATTGAGGGTTCTTCAACTGGAGAAGAACTTGGCTAAAGCCAAGGAGATCTAGGTTGTGGTGAGGAGCTGGGCAGAAATGGATTATCAGACAGGCCTGAAAAGGCAACTTGATAAAAAGACCCAGAGTTTAAGACTGAGCCTGGGGGTGGGGGAGGAGATGGACTCCTCCAGGAGGCTTTAGAACTTCAAGGGATTTAGGTGGGGCAGAGGGAGGAGCCTGCGAGAATGCGCCCACCAGCCAATCTTTCCCAGCCTATGCAAATCCATGCAAATAGACAGTGACTCAACACAGGCCCTGGGGGGTGGAGGGTCAGCCCCTGAGGACTGGGACTTGTCTAGTTTCCTGTTGTACCCTCAGAGCCTACACCAGGGCCTGGCACATAGTAAGTGCTCAAGAAACACTGTTAAAAAAAACTGTTGAATAACTATCAAGCTCTGTTCTGGATGCTGATGTCACAGATGAGTCAGGGCAAATCAGGGGCTTGTCCTCCAGGAATTGACAGTTCTAGGGGAGAAAGCTATTACATAGATAGTCATCACCAAAAAATGCCAGGAAGACTGAAGGGGTGGGGCTAGGGGTGGGGGAAGTAACTAGAGCAGGGGCCTGACCCATCTGAGGGGAAGGGCAAGAGGGCTTCCTGGAGGGGGAGACCTTTCCTTTCCTTTTCAAGGGAAGCCAAGCTCTGGGCCCACAGAGCCCCACACTTCTCTCTGGGTCACTGGTCCCTTCTGGGACTCCGCTTTCCTGCCCAAAGGAAGTCCTTGTGATTGCAAGATGCCTCTCTTCTGAAGGAGGCTGCCCTCCTGGATCTAGAGTGGCGCCTCAGCCCTGGCAGCTCCAGAGAAGTAAAAAAATCCACTTCTAGCTTCTTGTGGGGCAAGCTCCTCTGGAAGTTCTTTCATCACAAAACTCTGCCCCACCTCTCCCCTCACCGACTAGCTGACCCCATCTCACACAACAGATTTTCAAGGGCCTTGTAAGCTCCCTGAGGGCAGGAATTCTTTGCCTTGTCTTGCTCACAGCTGTCCCCTCAGTATCTGCAACAGAGACTGGCTCCTAGGAGATGCTCAGTATTTGCTGAATGAACGAGTTCTAAAATCCACAGCTCTAGGAGTTTCTAATTCTGAATGAATGAATATAATGGTCCAGCCCCTGGGCGGGGATGGGGGCGTTAGTGGCCCATTTTTAGGCATTTCCACCTCAGTGAAAAGTTCAAGATAGAAACTCTGGAGTCATCCCTGACTCCCTTTCCTCTCACCCACACGCAAGCCATCAGGAAATCCTATTAGCACCATCTTCAAAATGTATCAGCAAGTGGACCAGGTCTGACTCCTGCATGGCCTGTATCCTGGTCTAATGCAGTAGCATCTCTCCCCTGGGTCATTCCCCCCATGGAGCATTGCCCTTGTCTCCCTGTACCTCCTAGTCTGTCCCCACATGCCACAGGGAAACTACAAATCAGGTCCCTTGTCTCTCTGCTTAGAGCCCTCCGGTGGTTCACTCCTCACCAAAACAAAAAGCTCAAGTCTTTACAGTGGTCCACAAACCCCTGTGTGATCCTATGCCTGTCCTTTTTCCCACCCTCTCCCCTTGGCAGACCCTGCTCCAGCCACAGTGCCCTCCTCACTGTTCCTCAGACATGCCAGGCAAGTCCTACCTCAGGGCATTTGCACTTGTCCTCCCATCCTGGAACTCTCTTCCCCAGCAGGTCCCCACAGCTCCCTCCCTTTGGGTTTTTGCTCAGCGAAAGTCCCTTATCTGCCTAAGAGCAGAAACTCCCTTGACCCTGTTTCATTTTCTTCTCAGCACCTGATGTATCTCTCCCGCTAGAACATCAGTGTAGTGGGCAGGGAGCTTTCTGTCTTGTTCACTGCTGTATCCCTAGAGCCTAGAACCGTGCCTGGCACACTGTAGGTGCTCCATAAATGTGTTGAATGAATGAATGAGGTAAGGATGGGGAATTCACAGTGCACTAGGTCACAAAGGTTAAGGCCGTGTTAGAGTTTGAGCTTTTTCTTGGGGGCACTGGGGAGCCATGGAGAGTTATAAGCAGAGAGAGGAACAGGGTTAGGTTTGTGCTTTAGAAAGAGCCCTCAGAATGGCGTGGGGCAGGGCTTTGCAGGTCAGGGCTGTTGGGATGGAGGATGAACCAGACGTTCAGAAGTTGGAATGGTTGGGACACAGAGGCCGACAGGCTGGGTAGAGGGGTGCTGGGGGGACAAGGTGTGGGCTGATGCCCAGATGTGTTTCAGGCAGAGGCAGGGGAAGTGAAACCAGGGGGATGGCTGGCCTGGAGTTCAGGCCCTAGAGTCCGGCAGGCTTCTGGGCGGGGACCTGTGCCCTGACCTTGGCCAGGATAGGGCCAGCACCACAGCAGGGGAGAGGACGGCCGTGGGAACACTGGCCTCTCTCAGCTTCCCTTGGCAAGCCAGGCTGGTGACATCTTCACGAGGTGTCAGCTAGGTCCCCAAACATGCTTCCGCTCCCTGTGGCCTGGGATGTAGACTTCCTGTGGGGGCAGAGTGGGGGCTACCCAGGGTACTGTATGAGCCCAGGGGAAAACTTTGGTGGGTGGTACAGAGACAGAGCCTGAGGTCCTGAGATCCGGGCAGGGGAAATCAAGGCTGAGAGGAAGGGGCTGGGGGCGCCGACTCCTGGGTCCTTGCCTGGCTGGCTCCTCACGGTGGCTTGGTTCACCCACCTCCCAACTTGTAATACATCATGACTTGCCCTCTCACCGCAGGGTATGGCGGACTCCAGCAGGCCCTTGAAGGCCAGTGTGCTTGGAATGCTGGCCTCAGCTACCTTGTTAATTAATTAATGGCATTAATCACAGTGCCCACCCCCACCCAGCGGACATCTGGGAGCCGGTTTTGGGGGGTGAGCAGCAGCACTGTCAGGATATGGGGCTGTCTGCCTGCATCTCTGCACCTGCCTCCTGCAGCCCACCTCTCTGGTGGAGGTCATCCCTCAGCTCAGGGGATCCCCCTGCCTTGGTCTGAGCTTTCCCTGCCTTTCTGCAGGGGCTCCACCATCCGGGAAGGCCTCCTCTGTGGGATGTGATACTTCTGGGGGTCAATCTCTAGGACTGTTCTTCCTGGCCGAGCCCCTCAGACAGAATCCTACTCTACCATTCTAGCCAGTCCAGAGTTTACATCTGAACACTTCTGTCTCTGAGATTCCTCCTCCTCCTCTTCCTGCTGGTCCTGTCTCTTTGATCTCCTGTGTCTCCCTCTGTTCTGGTTGTTAGAGTCCCAAGTCTGTCCCTCTGTGTCCCCAACTCCTAGGGTCTCTGGTCTCTGCCTCTGTCTCTTTCGGAGTCTCTGTTCTTCTTACCTGTGTCTCCCAAGAGTCCCTGGTCTCTGCTTTCTGTGTCTCTCTGTCTCTCTAACAGCTTTACTGAGATATAATTCCTATACCATACAATTCGCCCGAAGTGTCCAGTTCAATGGTTTTTAGTAAATTCATAGATTTGTGCATCCATCACCACAATCAATTTCAAATCATTTTCACCAGCCCCCAAAGATCCTAGCTGTTCTCATATTCTCTTTCTTCCATACCACTGCCATCTAAGGTCTGGGTCTTTCCAGGTCTGGGTTTCCCAGTCTCTGGCATCTGGTTCCTTGCATCGATTCCTGGAGTCTCTAATCTCTCAAGGTTTCTTGTCTGCAACTCTCACAGTCTCTGTTTCTCCATGTCTCTGACCCCGGACTCTCTCTGCCCCCTGGGTCTCCTCATCCCTGCCTGTCTCTCCACAATTCTGACACACTTTCTCTGTGCTGGGCCATCTCGCTGGGTCCCCTCTTCTCCTCCCCCTCCTGCTCCGTTTCTCAGCAGTGCTGGGGCATTAAAAATGTAACAGCGTCCCAGGCAGGGGCGGGGGAGCTGGCCAGCATGTCCAACTCCCTGTCCCTCCTACGTCCAGCACTCCCCATGGCCCCTACACACTGCTGGCCTTGAGGCTTGCCTGTGCCCTGATGTCTCTGGGTCATGGCATCGCCGTCATTGATGGCTGGGGTCTTTTGGGTTCCCTGCCTGTCACCAAACCTCTAAGTCTGTCTCTTTATGCTGTTTCTGCCTTTATCCAGATGTCTGTCCAGCTCCCACCCCCCTGCCTTTCTCTGTCCCATCCCAGTGTCTCTCTGCCCCATCCCTATAACTCCAGGCTGTATTTTATTCCTCCCATCTCTGGATTCCATCTCTGTGTGTGTCTCTGACCTCATCCCTAAATTTGTTTCTGACGTCCTCCCTCTATTCGCTTCTGTCCCCATCCCTGTATCTCTGGCCTCTCCATTGCATCCCCACTTCCCTCACCCCAGGATGTGAGCAGACCCACCCCCACCTCTCCTGTGTCCAGTCCTGCTTCCCTAACGAGAAGAGACAGCAGGCCAGCAGTCCTCTCTCCTCCCATCCCCCTCCGCTACTGTGGGGCTGCCTGGCTGACATGGATGAGCAGTGAAAGCTGGGGAGGACTGGGGAGGGGAGCCGGCCCAGCAGGAAACCCAGGTGGTGCACCCACATTCCGTGGAGACCAAGGAGGGGGAAGGCAGAGGAGCTAGGGATAGGGAAACAGAGATAGATGGAAAGGAGAGATGGCAAGAAAGGAAGAGAGAAAGAGCTCGGAGAGAGATTAGCTAGCCAGAGAAGCAGAGAGGGAGAGGGTGAGCATGGAGAGAGGAAGAGGGGGAGAGAAAGTGAGGGAAGGAGGGGAGGGAGAGACCTAGAAAGAGAGAGGAGGGGAGGGAGGGAGGGAGAGAGGCAGAGAGGAGAGACAGCAGAGAGTAAAGGCACAAGGATGGAGGATCAGGAAAGGGGAAGACCTCATCCCCAGGTGCTAAGAGCTTTACCCTGGGATCCATGAGACCTCTAAATCCTCCCAATGGCCCTGCAGGGAAAGAGCTGTTAACTCAGTTTTACAAAGGAGGAAATGGAGGCTCAGAGGCACTTTCTGGAGCTCACCTGGTGGGGCAGAGCCAAGAAAAGCAGTCTGGCTTCCCCAGGGACTGGCTGTGGACCCTGGAAAAGTGGCTTGCCCTTTCTAAGCTTCTGTTTCCTTGTTTGCAAAATGGAAACAGGAACTAAGCCTGTCTCCCAGAGTCCACCATGAGATCATGCACCAAGTCATCATTTGACACAAGGTGGGGTGGATTCTGAGCCCTCTCCCAGAGGTGGCAGGTTCTGACTTTATCTCCCTATTTCTGACAGAGGGAGAGGCAGGTGAGGCAAGAGTCAGTACCCAGCCCTGGGTCACAGCTGGGAGACAATTCAGAGACACGCTGGGAGAAAAGACAGGATGATCAGGGCTCCCCCCAGCTCCCTTCACACTTTCTAGCAAATCTTTGGGAAACTCCAGTACCTTGAGTTTCCAGCTGGGAATAAACAGCCGGGTCACCTGCAAGGGGCGGGACCAGAGCCTCCTTCACCTGTTTCCTCCCAGCCCCTCCCTCTCCTGGGGCTGCGCCCCTCCACTATGGGAGGTGGGGGGAACAGGAGTGGGTAGTGGGCAGAGCAGAGGGATTAGGGCGGCGTCTCCCCGCGTCCATCTCCCGCAGCGGCTCCGAGGACAAAGGCGCTACTAGAGGAAAGATAAGGTCCCGAAACAGGGAGTCCGAAACCAGGAGCCATGAGAGCGCCCGACTTGCCCGGCCCTGCCCTGCCCTGGCTCGGCCCGACAAAAAGTGAAACCGGGAAAACTTCCCCAGGGACGTCCCCGCTGACGGCTCTCAGGGAACAGGAAGGGTCCCAGCCGGTGGGACTCGGCTTTCTTAATCTACGTGGGACACAGCCGACCGAGCCTCCAGCGTCCAGAGCCTCCGGCCTTCCATTATATCTAGAACCCAAGAGACAGGGTTTCTGCCCACATTTATATCTGAATCTCAGGAGACATTCCAATGCCCACAATTAAATCTGGAGCCCAGGAGACAGGCCGCTTGCCTTCCCCTCCCTCTAGTTCTACCTGGGACCCAGGAGACAGAGCCGCCTGCTCACAGTCTGGAACCCACACACAAGTAAGAGCGTTTTCTGCCCCCAATTCTACCAGGACCCCGGTAGACATAGCCCCTAGCCTTCATTCTCCCTGGGACCTAAGAGAGAGAGCCCCCAGCCCCTATTTTTTTTCTGAGGCTCAGGAGTCAGAGCCTTCAGCACGGGGTTGGAACCCTCAGGCCCTTCCCCGTCGCCGAACTGTCATTCTTGGGCCCTCCAAGGGAACCAAAGTCCGAGCTCCCCGCTCTTCTTGAAGACCTCGGCATCTGACCCCCTGCCCTCAATGCTCCCCGGGCCTCAGACTCCCAACTCTGGGAGAAGGAAAGATGAGGGGTGGTCTCGCTTCATCATCGCGACCCTCCTGCTGAGGTGGGGAGGGGGTTGGGTCCGCGCACGGCGTGGGGGGGGGTGCCTGCGGTCTCTCACCAGTTTCCCGGAGCAATAGCAGCAGCAACGGCAGTAGCGGTAGAGTCGGCGGCGACAATCTCGACGGCGGGAGGGCTGTGGCCCGGGCCATGGGGGGCCCGGGGAGGGACTGGGCCCAGGAAAGGGCCTGCGGGCCACTCTGCGTGCGCCGATCGGCTGGGCGGACAAGCAGGTTCCTGGGTAATTCCAGCCGCGCTCTGCTCTCCCGGCTCAGCTCTCGCGGCCCGACTCTCCCAGTTCGGCGTCCCTGGCCTCTAGCTTCTTTCTGGCTTCGGACTCACTGACGTCACAGGACTCACCCCTTTCCTCCCCCCAAAAGCGGAGCCGATCCGGCCACGCCCCCTCATGCCGTTCTGACTCCGCCCTCTCCTGGGATTCCACGCCTGTCCCTCCCCAGGATTCTCCGCCAGCCCCGCCCCGTACCCCCCACGCCGCATTCCTCTCCTTCTCTTTCCCAGGATTCTACACCTGCTGTCAGGATCCTATGTTCGCCACCCCCAGGATTCTTTGATCGCCGCCCCCATCCCCCAGAATTCTATTTTTGCCCTCTCCTGGTGTTCAAACCCCGCCCCCTTTGTGTTATAGCCACGCCCTCTTACACTCGCGGTGGCCTTCGCGCCTCGCCCCCATCTAATGAGGTGCTCTTATAGAGCCTTCTTCACGACTTCCGGCCGTTTCCACCCACGCCGTTCAAGATAGCCCCGCCCACCCGCTCTCCCCGTAGTCTGCCCCTCCCCTCCCCAGGAGCCCGGTACGGCCTGGCCTCCGCCCGGCCTCTGCCCCGCTCTACGTTAGTCGAAGCCGCCTCGTCGCACCTGCGTGAGGCACGTGGGTTCTCATAGGCCCTCCCCTCTGGAGCCCCGCCCCCATGCTGAGACACCCTCCTCGCATCCCCTTCCCTGCCTAGCAACTTCCCCAGTTCTCGTCCCGCGCCCGCTTTGTCTCTCCGGTCTGTGCAAGATTTCAGCGTACCCTGGTTTCCTTCTAATTTCTGCCTCGGGACACTGGGAGTTGCCGCTTCGTTTCTTTTCAGATATATCTGTCCCTTTTAGTTTCTCTGTCTTTGTGTCTCATTATCTTTGCTTCTCCTCTGTCTCTGTGTTTCTCTAACTCTGGGTCTTTCAGTCTTCGCATTTCGGCGTCGCTTTGTGTTTCTGATCTCTCCTTCTGGTGTCTTTCTATTGCTGTTTCTGTGTCATTTGTCTCCATTCTTTGTCTCTGTCTCTGCGTCTCTCTCTGCCTCTGTATGTCTCTGTGTGTTTCTGTGAGCCTCTCTGTCTCTTTGTGTGTCTGTGCCTCTGTCTCTCTGTGTGTTTCTGTGTCTCTTTCAGTGTCTCTTGTTTCTCTCTGCGTCTCTCTTGACCTCTCACCCTCCTTGCATCCCCCAGTCCTCTCCTGCATCTGGTCCGCATCGTCTCTTTACCGCGGCCGCCCGCCAGGGGGCAGCACAGACCGGCCCCCGCGCTCCGCTGGCCCTGCGGGGCTGGGCTAGGGTCCGGCCTCCAGACTCGGCTGGTCCCTCCCCGTGTCCTTGTCCCAGTTCTATCTTCCCAGCCTCCTCGCGTCTTTGTGTCTCTCGCTCTAACTCGGCCCCTTTGTCCCTCCCGGGCGGCTCCCGCTCCTCCCTACCCCCACCTACCTCTTCACATTCCTTGGGCTGCCATGGGGGAGCTGGTGAGGCCGCCCAGCGTGCAGGATGAGGGCGGGAAGCAGGAGGCCGAGGGAGGGGATGCCCGAACGTCTGAAATCCCTCCGTTCCAGTTCCTCTGAACGCGAGCTAGTCAGCTGGGGGCAGCTGCTTGTGCGCTTCTTCCCCTACCAAGATGACGCCCTAGACTTGCCTTCCCTTCCCACCTGCCACACACCTGAGCTTTCCTTCCCAGAAGGGCAAGATCTTAAGTAGTGGAGACTCTTACTGGCATTACTCTTATTACTGGCATTCACGTCTTGGTAATAATACTATTAATAAATGTGTTTAGTACTATGTGCCAGGAACTGATCCAGGTGCCCTATCTCGAGTAACCCCCGCAGCACCTATGTGATAAGGAGACTGAGGCACAGAGAGATAAAGTGACTTGACCCAAATGTCACAGTTTACAACTTGTGACAGTTAATTCTGCAGGAGAATCCTGTGAAGGGGAGGCTATCGTGATCCCCATTTCACTGTAAAGTACACAGAACATAGTGGTTATTTATTTGCTCCACGCTACCCAGCAAGCAAGAAGCAGGCTGGGATCTCCCCATGTGTATCTTAGGCTCAGCACTGGCCTGGTATGAGGCCAGCTGGACAAATATAGTAAATCTCCCCCTCCTCTTATCTGTGGTTTCAGTTACCCCGTGGTCAACCGCAGTCCAAAAATATTAAGTGGAAAATTCCAGAAATAAAAATTTATGGATTTTAAATTGTTCTGAGTAGCTTGATGAAATCTGGAGCCTGAGACGTAAATCATCCCCTGGTCCAGTGTATCCTTGCTCATATACTACCTGCCCGTTAGTCACTTAGTAGAAGCCTCCGTTATCAGATCAACTGTGGAGGTTATCACAGAGCTTATGTTCAACTAACCCTTATTTTACTTAATAATGGCCCCAAAGCACAAGAGTAGTGATGCTGGCAATTGAGATATTCTCTTACTGTTCTTCATTTATCAGTGAAAGTTTGTCATAAGTATGAATGCATAGGAAAAAACATTGTATATGTAGGGTTCGGTACTATCCAGGGTTCCAGGCATCCACTGGGGGTCTTGGAACATATCCCCCACAGAAAAGGGAGGACTCCTGTAAGTGCATAATAAATTCTCTCTAGAACTCTTGTCTTTCTCTCCTCAGTTTGGGGCCAGACTGGAGGGCCAAGATCTCTGGGGTTAGTGCTAGTTTTGCTACTAACTTGCTTTGTAAAATTGAGCTCCCCTCCCCTCCCATTTCTCCCTTGAACAAAATAACCAGTCCCCAGGGAGAATTCTTCCAGGAAGCACCGCCCCCAGCACCCACTCTTTTCCTGGTCTGTCAATGAGTGGGTTCAGCTGTTTTTTGTGTGCAGGGGTGAGCCCAGGAGGGAAGCCCCAGAGGGCAGCAGGCTGGAGTTTCATGCCCCCAGTCACATGCATAAGGGGATGTGGATAAGGCTGAGCACTGCTGCATTTGTTGACAAAAGTCTGGGTGAGTCTCATTCCTGCTGAGTTGACTTCCAGTGTCAAGGAGTCTCAGAGGTGACACTTCACTGAAGAACCATAACCACCAGGAGGTTGGGGCACAGGGCCAAAGGCTTTCTGATGGAGCTGTGGAGTTGATGACAAGTATTTTACCTGCCCAGTAACCTCTTCCACGCTAAGCCCTTATGGTTCAGAATAAGCCTGGCCTAGTCCTGGCCAAGCAGAGCATTTGATCTCCTGGCCATAGGACTGGTTCGGGGATGGGAGTGGGACCCATTTTTGACCAATGAGAATTAGCCCTGAGACTTCTTGTTGAATAGGAAAGGGGCACCCTCTTTTGATGGCAGTTGCTAAACTGTAAGGATAGAAATCTGGCATTATGATTGCCACTGGAGACAAAAAAAACCTGCCTGTGCATGGAGGACAGCGAAGCTGAGAAATGGAAAACGAGTTTTCTGATGAGACTGTTTGAGTCCCTGGATCCAGCTATACCTGAAGGTTAATCAGCCTTTGATCTACCTGATTATATGAGTGAATAATTTTCCCTTTTCACTTATATAACTTTTTTGTCATTTGCAGTGAAACATACCTTTACTAATAAAATCTCTGATTCAGAGGAGTCACAAATTCCAGTAAAGTTCCAAGGACAGGGAACAGGGACTGAAAACTTATGAGTTCTTCAAGATGTCCAGACTGTGAAGGACAGGCAAGCTTTGTTACAGTGGGGGAAATGAGAAAGGACATTCCAGGAAGGGGGAATAGTAAAGTCACAAAGGTAAAAGATAGGGGAACATGTGAGAGAGGGAGCAGTGGGTGTGTGTGAGGGGCAACATCTTAGCAGGCTCTGAATGCCAGGTGAAAGGTGGTTCATGTTCCTGAGAGTAATAGGGAGCCACAGAAGGTTGAGGAGCAAAGGGGAGCCTACCCTAAATGTGCCTTTACTTCCTGGAATCACAGATCCTATGATTCCCTCCTACCCCCTCCCCTTCCCCTAGACCCTTGGCCAAGGTGAAAGGAGGGGTCAGACTGAGGAGGGTGCAGGCTACCATCTGTATGCAAATTGCCTGGGATGCCATGCAGATGAGGGATCTTATGCAAACGTATGCCCTTCTGGGAGGCAGGCCCAGCCCCTCCCCTCATTAAATCAGGGACCTGGTGCTGGGCAGAGCACCCCTTAGTCCCTGGGGCCCCCTCTTTCTCCCCTCCTCCCAGCCATCTGTTCGCTCTCCCTCCAGCTCCCCAAACCTCCCCTCACCAATATCTGCCCTTAGAGTGGTATCTCTCTCCTCCTGGTCCCTTCCTGGCTTTTCTCCCTGTCCCTCCATTTTCCATGAATGATGATGATAATTATGACAACAACAATAATAATAACCACATACTGAACACGTGCCAGGCTTTGCACTAAACACTTTCCACAGTTAGCAAATTATCCCCGATACCCTAGGATCCTCTATATGTTGGCTGTTTTTTGGCTTTTTTTTTAATGGAGGTACTGGGGATTGAACCCAGGACGTCATGCATATTAAGCCCGCACTCTACCACTGAACTCTACTCTCCTCAACTGCTTAATTTTTATTTTTAAAGAATATTCAGTTCTGCCAGACATAAAGCAAGAAATCCACACAAATAAGGAGACAGATGAAACGAAGGATGCAGATTAAGAAGCAACTCATGAGGCTTGTTAAACCTATTAAGAATGTGAGCTGAAAGCAGATGAGAAGGGTGGAAAGATCTAGAAGCTCCAAGTATCTGAGTCCTTGAGGTGCTTCCCATTGGTGACTCCCGCTCTGCTCCATGAGTCCTGTGCCCACGTTAGGCAGGTAAAAGCCACGGCTACCAAGTCTGTTTTCTGCCAGCTACAGTTGCAGCCAGACTCATTTGCCCCCCACATGACCCTGGTACCGTCTGGGTGCAGAACCTCCTGGCTCCCCCTCAACTCTGGGAGCGGGATGGTGAGAGACAGGATGAGAGAGCCATGTGTACCCCAGAGCTCAAGTGGTGGGAACTTTTATTGTTTTTTTTAATTGAAGTACAGTCAGTTTACAATGTTACGTCAATTTCTGGTTTCTCACATTGGTTTTAATCCGATTCAATAAACCATGGGATTTGAGCACCTTAATTAGGCCCGTGAGCTCTTCTACTCGGGGGACTTCTGGGCATCCACTCAGTTGCCTATGGAGAGGCTCTCATAGCATCTCTCCAATTTCCCCCAGCCCCAGATCCCACATTGGCCCTTTTGTGGCCAAGGAGACTGAGGACAGAGAGGTGATGCCACTGGCAGAGACCTCCAATCATGCATTGAACAGGGATGGTCCTGCGCACTCCTCACGGTGCCAACCACGGTCCAAGTGTGATGGGCTGGTGGAGGTGAAGTCACTTGCCCAAGGTCACACCTGTCCGCCCCTCCCATTGTTTCGGAGCTCCTTCTTTTCAACATATTTTCCTCTCCCTTTCTAACTGGAATTATCGCTCTGAATCCCAGTTCTTTGTGTTCCTGACTTTGTCTCTCTGAGTCTACCTCGCTTTACCTGGCTTTGCTTCATTGTGCTTCGCAGATACTGTGTTTTTCACAAATTGAAGGTTAGTGGCAACCCTGTGTCCAGCGATTCTATCTGCACCAACTGCATTTGCTGACTTCCTGTCTCTGTGTCACATTTGGTAATTCTTGCAATGTTTCAGATTTTTTCATTGTTATACTTGTTAAGGTGCTCTGTGATCAGTGATCTTTGATGTGACTACTGTGACTCACTGAAGGCTTCAATGATGGTTAGTGTTTTTAACAATAAAATACTTTTTAGTTAAGGTATGTACATTGTTTTTTCAGACAGAATGCTATTGCACACTTAACAGACTGCAGGGGGGGAGTGTAAACATCACTTATAGGCACTGGAAACCAAAAAAATTGTATGACTCGCTTTATTGTGATACTCGGTTTATTGCAGTGGTCTGGAACCAAACCTGAAATATGTCTATGGTATGCCTGGATTTGTCTGTCTTTGCCTCTCTCCCCCTAAATCTCTGTCTGTCTGACTCTACAGGTCTTTCTCATCTCTGAGTTGCTCCAGTCCATCTCTCCTGCCTCCCCCTAAACCTCACCATCCTGTCAAATCCTTCTTCCTTGGCCTCCATAAATCTCTCTAGCTGGCCTCACTGTTTCTACCTCTCTTCTCTCTGCCCCAGGCACCTTCATTGGGGTTCCTCCAAGCCACCCCTCCTCCCCTAGGGAATCCTCAATTGCAGGCACTAGGCTGGCCCCAGAAGAGGCAGCTAAATTCCTAATTCCATCCACTCTACAGCTCAGAGAGAGTTTTTCCTCTGGAAGCTTCAGTTACCTCTGGGTCTCTGGCAAGAGAGACTGGGAACTTTTACTTACAGGGACGGCACCCCACCCCCAAGCAGGCACTGGTCCTCAGGATCCAGGATCAGCTCCCTCTGGACCCCCAGCATCTCTCTCCTCCACCCTCATCCAGCTGAGTCACCCTGTGTTTTCTTCCTCTCTCTCATTTCTTGCTCCATGACATCAGATTTCTCCTGAGGTCCAGCAAGGAGGCTGGAGGGCCAGCGGGGAGGGACGCATCACCTGCATCCCTTTCCCCTCTCATCCCCCAGAGGAGGCTCTGGCCACAGGATGGGGTCCACGTGACAGACAGCATTTATTCCAGACTCCAGTGTCCACAGATAATGGGGCGGGGGCAGGGGCGGGGATCCAGTGTCAGACTATGCAGCAGGACGTCAGGTGGGGGGACCAGCAATGGAGGCAGGAGGTAAAAATAGCCCCGGCCAGCCGACCCTCAGAGGCTCGTCCCAGGCCAGGCCCTGGGCTTGGGTCCAGGAGCTATTCTGGGGCCTGGGAGAGTCACACTCCCTAGAGGAAGGTTCCCTCCCTCCCAACAGCAGCAGGCTGCTGTGGTCCCTGCCCAGCTTACAGAGGAAGGAAGGGAGGGTCTGAGAGGGAAAAGGGAAGGCCGGGAAGGCAGGGGCAGGCGGAGGCGGGAGCAGGGCTGGTTTTCTGATCCCCTCAACCCCACATCAGGTTCATGGCTGCTTCTGGGCAGTCCTCAGGCTCAGCACTGGGGAGAAGACGGAGAAGTCAGCCTGGACCCATAGAGACCATTCCACCCTCTCACCAGGGTGCCCAGGCCCTCACCCACCTCATCTCCGAAGCCACCGCTCCCACGCCGGGCTCCTCCAGAGGCACCTCCCATGAGAAGGCCCGTCTGCTCTGGCCGCTCTGACCCTGAGTGGCTCAGCTCTGGTTCCCTGGGTGGCCTAGGGGTAGGAGGCAAGCATGTTGGAGGTGGTCATGGCCAAGGAAGGAACTGGGGCTGGGGTGTGTTGGATGGGGATGGACTTGGGCATGGGTGGGAATGGGCTGGGGATGGGGTCAGAGGTGGTAATGGCACTGGGGTTAGGGATGGGGTGGGGCTACGGTCAAAGATGCTGTTGGAAATGGAGCTGGTGATGTAGTTGGGGTGGGTTTTGAGGATGGGTTTGGGGGTGGCCATGGATTGGAGTTGAGGGTGGCCATGTGGTTGCAGATGGAGATGAGGTTAGATGGGGATGGGTGTGGGGTTAGGAATGGGACTGGGTTAGGAGGGGGCCTCGGGGATGGAGATGTGGTAGGAGTCAAGTTCGGGGCTGGTTACGGGCTGGGTTTGGGGTTGGGACTGAGTTGGGGTTGGAGAGGAGGTTGGGGACACAGATGGGGTTAAATTGAGTTTGACGTGGGTTTGCACGTGGTTATGGGCTGGGGTTGGGAGTGGGGTGGGGTCAGGATCTGAGGCAGTGATGAGACTGGGAATGGGAGTGTGGGAGGGGATGGTTATGGACCAGGTTAGAGGTTGGAGATGGGATGGCGTTTTATTTGGCGATGGAGCTGGGGTTGGGGATGTGGTTGGTTTGGGGTGGAGGCTGGGGACGAGGTCAGAGCCGGGTTAGAGAGGTCCACTGCAAGGTCACTCACGGAGACCCCTTCTCCCCGCGCCGGCAGCAGCCGGGGTGGCCCTTGCGTCTCATGCAGTAGAAGGCAGCAACGACGATGAGCAGGAGGCCCACGCTGACGGCCACGGCCATGACTGCCACTCCGGCCTGGGAGGTCTGGGGGGCCACTGCAGGGACAGGACGCAGGAGGAGGAGTCAGTCAGCAGCGCCGTGTCTGCCCCACACCCGGCTCCTGTCCCACCCCTGTGCTCACTCACCAGTGCCGAAGTGGAAGACGTGCTGGTCGTGCCCGTGGGGGTTGGAGGCCGCACAGGAGACACCATCTCGGCTCAGGGCACTGGTCACCTTCAGGGTCAGGGAGCTGCTCACCCAGCCCTGCTCTCCGGGGGCCGGCTCTGCTGGCTGCGGAGGCGCAGGTCAGGCCCAGGCTCAGGACCAAGGGCTCAGGGTGAGGGCAGAGGTGAAGAGGAAGTGGGGGGGGGAGCATAATGCTCGGACTGTTGAGGGGGCAGGGTCTTCTGAGGGGTTTGGGAGGGGGCGCTTCCCGGGTCCCAGAGAGTTCAGGGTGCAGGGAAGGGTCCCTTACGCTGCCGCCCAGTTGGCTCCAGCTGAGTTTGGGCTCTGGGTAGCCGCGGGCATAGCAGGTCAGCCTGACTTCGTCTCCTTCCATCCAGCTGCCCTCTGCTTTAGGCTTTGTCTCCTCTGCCCTTAACTCTGGTGGCCCTGTGGGTGGTGGGGCAGGAAGGGAGTGAGCGGGAGGCACCCCGGGAAAGAAGAAGTAGGAGAGAAAGAGGAGAGAGAGAAGGACCAGCTGTGGACATGACTCATTTGTCCTGGCCCCCATGCCCCCCACTGTCCCCATCCAAGCCTGCCCCAACCCCGAACCTTGGACCAGCAACTTGAAGCTCCGGGTGCGACTAAGAAGGGGGACAGTGGGCATGAAGGCCTCGCATACGTAGGTGCCAGCGGAATCAAAGGTGATGGAGCGGAGGGAGAGTGTGGGGTCATTCCCCAGGGGTGCCGAGTCCTGGGTGGGGAGAAAGAGTAGGCGGGGCCAGCTGTGAGAGGAGGGGAGGGGCTGATGGAAGGCGGGGTTCTGCGCTGGGCGGGGAGCCTTTCCCTCTCACCTTGGTCCAGCGCAGGGTTGGGGTGGGCAGGCCTTGCACGGAGCAATTCACGGCTGTGCTGTTGCCCAGAGGCAGGGAAAGCTCTTCTCCAATGCTGAGCTCCAGTGGGTCCAGGTCTGGAGAGGGGTACAGACTGTCACCTTCCCTGGACCCTCACCCACTGGGTTAGGGGCTCTCCAGGGCTGCTAGGGGGTGCAGACATGAACGGACAAATGTTAGAAGAGAATGCCGAATTCTCCCTGGCATCACGAACTTTCCACTGTCCCATCCAAGCCCTCGAGGCCAGACCTAGGAGTCTAGCTCCCGAACACATGCCCTCCTCGACCACTTGCCTCCAGAGCTGATGTCTGCGCCCAAGGTTAGTGGATAACCTCGGAGGTGTGAGGTGTTCTTTATCTGACTTACCACCCAAACCCTGGCCTTCTCCTCCACACTGCCCACTCTTCCATCAAGACACCCTCTGCCCTGTCCTCCAGATGCATCCTTCCACTACTCTCCATCTCTGTCCTGGGGTCTGACTGCCTTGACTGCTGCAATCACCTCCTCACTGGTCTCCCTCCTGGGCAAGACTCTCATCTTCTCTGGTCCATCCTCTGCTGAGCAACCAGAGGGATCTTTCCAAAACACACCTGGGTCAGCCCTTGCCTCTGCTTAAAATCCTGCACTGGTTCCCCAATACCCTTGACATAAAGGCCAACTTCCCTGATGAAGCCTAAAGATCCTGCCTGGTTGACCCCTGCTCGCTGCTTTGACCTCATCTCCCACCCTCCCCTCTTGTTTGTTGAGCTCTAGCTAGCCTATACTTTCGCTGTCATTCTCTAGTATGCCAAGTTGGGTCCTGCCTCAGGGCCTTTGCACTTGCTGCTTCCGCTGCCTGGAATGTACTTCTTTTGGTTCTTCATACTTCTGATTCCATTCTTTGGTTTCCTACTCAAATGTCCCTTTCTCAGAGAGGCCTCTCTGTCCCCCTATTGTAGACACTCAGATTTCCCCTTCAGCACTGAAGGATTTGTTCCCCCAGCTGTTGAGAAGGATGTCAGCTGTCAGATCTCAGCTGTCAGCCCTCTCTGGGAACTGCCCGGGCTGCACAGAGCCCCTCGCTCAAGGTCATGCCCCCTCCTTCACCACGCAGCCCACATCCAATGACTGGTTGATGTGGGAGTATAACAGCCTCACCCCCTCACCTCATCTGGGGACATCCCAGCTTCCGGGTGCCCTGTGAGGCCAACCAAAGCCTTCCTTAGACTGAAGCCCAACTTCTCCCTCTGCCCAATCCTGCTTCCTTGCCCTCCTCACCCCCCAACAGACGTGAATCCCAAGGCATTCCCTATAAATTTCCCACCTGTGGTCAGAATCTGCTTCTTGGGGACGCAGCCTATAACCCACTTCCTCTCCATCTAACATAATCCCCGCTCGCCTGGCCAACTCCTTATCCCATCACTCTGCGCTAGTCGCTGTAGCTGCAGGATTGCTACTCAAAGTGTCTTGTTCAGCATTTACCATCTGCCTCCCCGACTGGGCCCAGAGCTCTGCGAAGGTGGGGACTGGTCTGTCTTGTTCACAGAGGTGTCTCAAAGATCTGGCAGAGGGTCTTGCCCCAGGAAGAGAGGTACAAGGAAGGCCGAGAAGGGACAGAGCTTTCGCACAGGACTGGGTGCAGGTGGACCAAGAAGGCTTCTTAGAAGACTGGGACCCAAGAGATTCGTTAGAAATAGGCAGTGGAGGGGATGGGGAGTTAGCGTAGGAATGAGAGGGGCCCGGTGTGTGATGGGGAGAACGCCTCGGTGGGGACAAGGGTCTGCGAAGGTGAAGCCTGCCAGGTGGGCCTTGAAGGCTGTGGTGAGGCAGGCAGATTTTCTCCTGAGAGCACTGGGGAGCCATGGTAGGTTCCGAGCAGGGAAAGGTCAGGTTTGGGTTTTGGAAAGGCAGCAATCTGGAGGCTGGAGGGGGCTGGGGCATCTGGGTCAGGGGCAGGGACCATAGAAATAGAGAGAAAGGGGTGGCGGCAGGGCTGCGGGGGGTGGGGGTGAGGAGGCAGCGGGCGCCGGGCCACCCTCCCCGCTCTCCAGGGGCGCTCACAGGCCACGTGCAGCTCCCGGGTTTTGGAGAGCTCTGCGTCCTCAGCAGCGTCGTAGTCCTCCACCCTGCAGCCGTAGGTCCCACTCTGGCTCCGCTGTACCCCCGCCAGGGTCAAGTTCCCCTCCAGATTTGTTTTCAGCACAACCTCCTGCTTGTCCTGGGTGGCCAGGAATGAGGAACTCAGTTCACGAGATACCCTGGACTGGCAGGGTCATTCTAGATCAGGGGTCACCCAAGTCAGGCATCACGTTAAGTCAGAACTCTCTCAAATCAGAGGTCTGAGGTCTTGTTAGCTCCAGGGTCACCCGTCTGGTGCCTTGCTAGGCCAGGGGCCACCCAAGTGAAAGGTTAGAAGTTGGTACAGGTGAGTATGTCACAGAGGTCAGGGCTGGCAGTTCCAAGGGAATGATGGAGTGAGTTACCTGAAGGTGGAAAAACGTGTACTCTGGGCTGGGGCTGCCGTCCCCCTGGCAGAACAGCTGGACAGAGTCACCCTCACGTACCCAGCCCGCTGTTGTGGACGGGCTGCCCACCCAGAACTGTACGTGCTCCGTGGGATCTAAGGGAAAGGGCAGACTCACGATCAGGGTCAAGAGTAAAAGGCAGGGCTGGATGAAGGGAAAGAGGTCAGCGCCTCAGCAAAGGAAAAGGCTACGGTTGGCTAAAGGTTAGAGGTCATAGCTTTCAAGGCTCAGGTTCAAATTCTGAGATCAGGGACTAGAAGTCAGAGGCTGAGACAAGCTGAGAGTATAGGTCAAGGGTTAGAGGTCAGCACAGGTGGCAGGTCAGTGTGAGATTCGGGGGAACCAATTCAAAGATGTGAAAGGGTTGGGTATGAGGTGAAGTCACAAAACTCCAGGGGGTTCAGGGTGCCATGGGGGTGGGGTCAGAAGTCAGGAAGGGGCTCGTGCTACTATTTGAGGTCAGAGGTCAGAGGCCAGGCCACATGAGGTAGGGGAGTGGAAGGCCAGAGGGGAGGGTCGGGCCGGCGTGGACTCACAGTGCAGGGTCAGGTGGAAGGCCGGGCTGTCCAGGCGGCCGTGCTGGCCTGTGGGCAGGCGGTAGTGCGCGGAGCAGTGGAAGCTGGCATCCCGGTCGGCCTTGCGGAGGCGCAGGTAGAGGGTGCTGGTGAGGGACTGCAGGCCCGAGGCCTCCCGGACTGTGCGGCTGGTCATGTAGCCCTCTGGGAGAGGGGAAGGGAGAGAGAGAGGGAAAGAGAGAGAGAGAGGCCATCAGCCAGCCAGGCCGCTGCCCCACCCACCCCATTAGCTAGGCTCTTCCTGTGCACTTAGCTCACCGGAGTTCATCTCCATGGGCACTTCCAGGCGCTGCCCGTTCCGATACCACATGATCTGGGGGGCTGGGTTCCCGTTGCGACTGTTGCAGGTGGCAATCTGGGGCAGACACAGGGCCCCACAGTGGGCTTGGAGCCAGGATCCTGAAATCTGGGTCCCCTCGCCCCCTTAGGGGCTTCTTACTCAGACCCAGGAGTCAAGCTCCCAGACCCCTACTCCCCCGGGACCTGGGCTGAGTTCCCAGGCCCCTGCTCCTTGGACTAGAGAGCCCAAGTTCCCAGCCCCTTCCAACCTCAGGATGCAGGAGTCCAGGACCCCAGCCCCCTCCTCCTTCAGAACCCTGGAATGAAGGTCCAGGCCAGGTACCTCTTGGGCAGTGTCCTCCATCACAGACAATATCCCTTTGTTGGGGGTAACCTCGGTGTCCTCTGGTTTTGCTGTGGGAGAGATGTTACTATCAGGAGCCCCTTCCTGTGGCTCTCCCTTGCCTGCCCCTTGGTTGGGGGGGGGACCCTTGGATACTCACCAAACACAATGAGCCGCGCGGTGGCCTCGGCAGTGCCCGCTGCCCCCGCCCTCACCACGCACACGTAGTCCCGCTCGTCGCCCACCTGGGCCTCGGCCAGCACCAGGCGCCCCCGGGAGTCCAGCTGGTACGGAGGGCTGCGGCCCCGGGAATCATGCACCTTGTCCTGGAGCTTAGAGCCCTGCAGCTCGGCAGAGGCCAGGCGGTGGCGGATCCCAGAGCGGTCGGCCTGTGGGAGGGGGGGCCAGCGCCTCATCTTGAGGGGCTGCCTGGCTGGCCCACCCCTCTGCAGCGTCTCTGTCTGTGTCCTTTTCTTTCTGCTGCTCGGTGGGTCTCTTTGCCTCTTGTTATCTTTCTCTCTGGTCCCTCTGCCCCTCTCTCCACCCCTCCCACCCGTGCACCCTATCTGTTGCCACATTTTCCTCTCTTTCTCTATCTCACTCTATTCCCACCTCTCCATCTCCCTCACCTGCCCTGTTTCTCCCTGCCTCTTATTTTCTCTTTACTCCCACCCCGGGGCTCTGGCTTCCTGGGTATCTGCCTCTGAATGTTCTCTCTCAAGAGCCAGGGCTCTGAAGGGGAACTTCTTCATTCTAGTCTCAGCTGTGCTCAGACATCAGAGGACCCGCATTTCCCTTTTCTGGGCCTCCATTTTCCCATCTGTAAAATGGAAAGGCAGCTTGGTGGAGCTCCTAGGGTCCTTCGGGTTCTGATGAGGGATGAAGGTTTGCAGTCCGCTGTGCCCAGACTCCAAGGCCACACTCTGTCATCCCCTGGCCCCCAGCCCGCAGCACTCACCAGGAACCATTCCAGCATGAAATAGTCATAAGTCCCCGAGGGGGTGCAGTCCAGAGTGACAGGATCTCCCCTCATCACCTCCACCAGGGGGGGCACAGACAGGCGCACCTCAGCCTTGGCACCTGTTGTGGGAGTTGGGCCATTGAGCTCTCCCCTACCGCCACCAATAGGCAGAGCCCTCCAAACACAGCCCCTCCTCCGTCAGTACCCAGGAGTCCAGGCCACCAGCCCCCTCCTCCCTCAGACCCTGGAGTCCAAGTCCTCAGTCCCTCCTCCCTCAGACCCAGTCCCTCCTCTTCTCCCTTAATCTCTCATCTCTGCATCTCTGAGCTTCAGATCTCATTAGCATTTCTTTCCATCTTTCTCCTCAATTGCAGAACTAAGGGCTCCTCCCTCGGGCCACACAGGGCCCCAGGGGCCTCCATTCAATCCTCTTGGGCTAAAAGCGTGTCGGTCCTGACTTTTCTCACCAGACCAAACACCCCTCAAGGGCAGGGCCAGGGCGGTCTTCTTCCTTTGCCTCCAGCACTTTGCGTTGCTCCGGCCTGCCACAGTGATGGAGATCACCGCCTCTCCATCTCTTAGTCACCTCCTCTGCATGTGTGTCCCTCACACTGGGTCTCCAGCTCTTAGTTCCATGGCCTCTGTGTCTCTCACCATCTCCATGTACCTCAGCCCTGCCTCTGGGTCTCTCCCTCAGGAGTGGGGGGCTGGGGCTGGGCCAGAGCTGAGGCGGGATGGCTGTGTGGGCGCGGTGAGGGGGACAGGGCTGGGCAGGTTTCAGGAATGTGGGAGGGACAGGCTGGCTCAGACCTGCCCGAGCCCCCTACCCGCCCCTTGGCCCCTCTAACTCTGATTGAGCAGTGCGTCACTTCAGAACAGACTAGGACTGAGGCCCTGGATGCTGTGTCCCGAGGGAGAAGGGAGCTCGGGGCCGGACTCCTATCCCCGGACCCTGGCAGACAGAGGTGCTCACATCAGGAAAGCAAGCTCTGTCACCCTCTGGGCTGGCATCCTGGCATTAGCTCTCAGTTCTTAGACTCTCCCTTCCCTTCCCCGCCCAGCTTGGCCCAGCTCTGCCCCTGGGGATCCACTCTTGGCCATGCTTGTGCCAGGGGCCTGGATTCCCAGGCACCCACCTCTGGCCCAGGCCTGCCCCATGGGAGGGAGTGTGGGGCCAGGCTAGTGCCTGGGGCTCGGGCTGAGCAGCAGACAGCAAGGATAGATGGAGAGATCTCTTTCTTCCCCAGTTCTCTGGTCTCTCTGTCCCTCTGTGGCTAGCCCCTCAGAGCCTCATCCTCCACCCCCATTCCCCAACCACACAGGTGTGTGGATTTATCTGGGGCCCTGGGAAGGGGGCAGTGTCACTCGGAAACACTTGGTTCCCACTTGGCTCCACTGTCACTGCCCAGGGCCATTGCTCCAGCTCTTTCTGATGGAGAGGGAGGGGGGTCCCTTAGAATCTGGGCTCTCGATCTAGACCCAGGGACCCTCAAATACATGTGACTTCCTGGTTTCTAGCCACAGAGTCCCTGATCTTCTCAAAATTTGACAACTTTTGAGCGGGGAGCATTGTTTTGGTCTCTTCTGTCCTGGGGAAATCTACCCCAGCCACTGGGGGCCTGGCCCTGTGTCTGAGGGAGTACGGCCCAGGTCGGGGTGGGGGTAGTTCCCAAGGTCTGAGTGGGGAGGGAGCCGAGAGCCCCCCGCACTCCTGGGTCCCAACTTCTCAGGTCGTCTGGAAGCCACTGCTGTGTATCCTGAGCCCCTCTGCCTAGCTGTCCTTATGTCCCTATGCTCCCGTATCCCTCCTCCCTGGGGTCCCCAAGTTTGGCTTCCTGGGGTCGGTGAAAGCTCCTGCCCTCTTCCCTTCGTGGGGTCCCCAGGGGCTACCCACCCACCGTCCCCGCCCCCAGCCGGAGGCGCCCTGCTCTCAGCCCGAGCCTTACCTGGCTGCGCCCCCAGCAGGAGCGTGAGCACCAGCAGCCGCGAGGCCCCGCGCGC